TATATATATATCTTTCTTGCCCACAGCCATCAGCATCTACAATAAGKTTTTAGTTAAATGAGTTACAACACCAAATTTCCCTCTGTGATCAATAAAGTATTTTTGAATTGAATTGAATATATATATATATATCTTACTGGACTGTATGTTGGTTTATATATTAAAATATACACTTACGTTTTAAAAAAATTATTACATTGGGTAAGTGTGTGGCACTGTGCGGCCCTCTGGTGGCATCAACAATGAAATGTGGCCTCTTCCATCATTGAACATGCGGTCCCAAACCATCTGAATAATGAACTAACAAAAAAGTTTAAATGTAGCATCTATAATGTTCTAAATGGAATGTATATGTCCTAAACCTTTGGCCTTTATACCACGACTGTTGTCATAAATCCTTGTGTTTTGATTATTGAGTTATGATTATTTGTGTTAGAGTCTCCTCTTTCGATTTTCAAAATCTTAGGATTCACTGTGTTTACGTTCTCATTCCCTGTGTTATATGCTTCAGTTTAGATTTTATTTTGGGTTTTGCCGCAGTCTTCTTGTAGTTAGTTGTTCAGTTCCAGCTCCTTTTTGTCAGCCTCAGTCATTAGTGTCTCTTTAAATGCCTCGGCCCGGTCCTGATGCTCTCTCTACGCTACGCCCCTCTCTGACGTGTGCACTCAGTCAAAGTACACATAAGGGTTTGAGGGTGCAGGTTACAAGCATGCAAAAACTGGGGAGTTGGGACAGTACAGGTTACATCATCGACCTCGTCGTAAATTTGTTGGCTTTCTAACTACATCTAAACATGATAGTTGTCTGTGTTGTGAGGGGGTTGGTTTAAAGTGCTGCAAATTTCAATGATTTTTTTCCCCGTAATTCTAAGACATTCTAAGACGTTCTATCCAAACCATGTCCACTGACAACTGGAACGGATTCCTCTGCTGGTAACTAAAAAAGTTACTGAAGACTCGTCGTTTTCATCACCTGTCCTTCCTGAGCTGTGTTGCTTCATTAGTTTGGACTCACCGTTGGTTTGCGCAGCACCAGAGTTCTGCTGGTTGCTGCCAACTGTCCCGTATCCCCGCAGGTTGTAGTTGAGGCCTCCGTTGGTGTAAAGTTGGTCTTGGGCAAAAGCTGCACTGGAAATAGAGAACCCAGATGGTGTAACCGATGTCGGATCCCTTGTGATGGTTTTGTCAACAGAGATGAGTTCATCCTGGAGAGAAAAAAACCTTTTTTACTTGGAGGAAAATAAACATGTGTTGCTGTAGCTCACTGTTATTGATATATAGATGGTCGGGGGAAGGGACACCCAAACCCCTTCTGTGCAGATTCACACTCTGCCAAAACATTTACCGTGGACTGGTAGGCATCGAGCCGCATCCTCTTGGCAGCATTTCGAGTTTCACTCTCGCAGGCGGCAGCTAGGATATTCTCAGCCATGGCGGAGGTGAGGTGAGGAGGAGTTGGTCGGATCTGCCAACGGGGTCAGCCAGTGACAATTTTTTTTATTTCATTTTGTTTTCATCGTGAAAGGGAAGGTTTCTGATTGTTAAACAAAGAACGCTAAAAGCCGCGGGGTTAACCGTGTGTACCTCAAAGCCGCCTTTCTTCATGCGGCGGCAGGATTTGAGGTAGGTGCGGATGCGCTTGCGGGAGCGCTCCTGGAACTCTGGGAACTGGCGGCTGCAGGACTCGATGATGGCCTGGATCTTCTCCTTGGGCTGCTTGGAGATGGGCACCATGCGGTCCAGATTCTCATCCACGAACAGACGCACGAACATCTGACGGAGGCGGGGGGTAGGGAGGCGATGTAGAGCAGAAGAAATGGAGTTGTGGGGTGGGGGAGTGGAATGAGGGGTGTGGGAGTCAAAACAGAAGAATGGAGATGAATGGTGAAGAGGGTGGGGGTGCAGAAGACGAGAGTTGAAAGAGGCAGGGGGGTGGGGGTGAGAACAGGAGGGGGGGTGTGGATAGAAATGGAATAAGAGCTCAGATGCAGGAAAATATTCCCATCAGGACTGAAACTCTACTGTTGCAGTGGCTTCTTTAAAACTCCGACAGTATTTTTTTTACCCACTTATTGAGTGTTTGAAGCTTAGCTGGTAATATTTACATAACGTAATAAATCATGTGAGTCCACAGCTGATCTGCCAGGCTGATGAACTGCTCTGGCTTCACTGGTTCCTTACATTGAAAGCTTTAAGTCTCTCGGGATCCATCCCCTCGGCGTCGTTGATCTTGTCACTGTCGTCGTGCTCGTCGTGCTCGTCGTCGTCATCGTCAATAATCTGTGCTCGACCAGAGGTCAGGTCCTCTGCGCTCATGCTCAGTTCCGTTTTCACAGAGTCATAGCTCCCTGAGCTATAAGGAGGCGACTGCAAACAGACACACAAAGAGGCTATTGTCATTTCCCCGACTGCCATTAGGAGACGAGACGGTCCAGAACCGCCCGACCAGGCCTTACCTTGTTGGTGAACTCGGTTTTCACCGGGTACTTCTTGTTGGAGTCCGCGGGGTAGGAGTTTGGGGGCGAGCTCCCGGCGGGCAGCAGTCTGTCGCTCAGATTGACCGGCTGCTGATCCTCTGAGGAAGAGGACGACGAGGTGGTGCTGAAGTCCAGGGGAGCGCTCAGCCCGTTCTCTGTCACCTCCCCGTAGGAGGCCCCGCCATCTGGGGGGTTCGCAGGCAGCACCTCGGGGGAGGTCAGGGCCGGCACCCCGTTGGCGCTGCTGCTCTCAGAGGAGTCATCATCTGGCAGCGTGGCGGGGGGAGAAACAGGCAGATACAGGGATGAGATGCTTTGTCACGCTTTAGCAATAATTCAGGTTTGTTTACTACAATAAGCATAATCCCAGAGGAGGAGGAGGAGGAGGAGGAGGAAGTGTGCATTGGGGTCAGCTGTCAAGACAAATAAAAGTTAGGGAGAAAGAAGGGGTTGCTGGGAGTTTTTACAAAAAAAGGGAGGGAGTTGAGGATGAGGAGGGACTGATGGGGGAAGGGAGACTACACGTCCCTCTGTGTAAAAACTACAGCTTTAAAATGAGCTCAATGTACTGATGTCATTACATCTGTCACATGTATTCAGGACCCATTTTGAATCTTTTTACTAATCTGCGATGGTTAATACAGGCCTTTGACCTACTTCCTGTTCCCTGTAAGAGAGGGGTGCACGGTGGATTGTTGCACGTCCCAGCTGGATTAGTCCACTAAGAAAGAGACAAGCTGTTTCCTGCGTAACCGCAATCTGCTCTCTACCCTTCCCGCTCCAGATGTAAGCGGAGCGATGGCAAAAATGTTTGTTTCGTGCCGAGCGATGTCACTCACCGTCCTCTTCTTTGATGATGGTGGTCTGGTTGCTCACTCTTTCCCCGTTAGGTGGGCTCGACTCAGGCACTGCTGGCTGCTCAGCTGCGACCCATGTGGGCTCAGCGTTGTTCATGTCCTCGCTGCTCACCGAACTGTCATCCTGGAAGGAGATTGGGTCACAGAACGGAAAAAAATATATATTAAAAATGTAAAAATGTATGTTTTTACTTTCCTAAAGTTTCCTAAATGCAATGCCTGGGTACATATCCACTTTGTAAAAATTTATTTTAATGTCAAACGGAAGCTTAGACGAACTTTTGAGATGTTATTTTATGATTTGAGCTTTTAGGCTGTGTTTACCTTGACTTTTGATGTTTGTGAGATGATCCAAAACAATTTTACCCACTTTTATTTTTTAAAATTTTTTTTAACCATGACCAGAAAAAACAAATACATGTTCGCATTAAAAAAAAACAACTAAACAAATTAGTAGAAAGATTGTGAAAAAAAGCAGGACAACAGGAGTCTTTCTCTGTTAACTAATATGTTTCTCAGAGCCACGGCTATTTTTAACTCCGTTACGTCGAGACCCTGAAGATGCTTGATGTAGCGTAACAAAATCACGAGTACACCACTGGAGTGAGGATTAGCCAAAAGAGCACTGAATATTCCCACAAACTACTCAGAGACTGACCCGAGCTGCAGACTCAGACCACAGAAAAGCTTTCCAAAACAAAAGAAAATTTACTTTCATATAAATAAAAATAAAAATAGACTATTTCTTTAAAGCTTAACACACACAAAAATCTGCTTTTACGGTGTCGTGTGTCAGCAGCCATCTGACTCAGGAGGGAGTACAACTACCACCATGTGACGAGCTCAGAGCAGTAACACATGCTGCAGACTGGTTCATAAACATACAAATGGGCCTAAACCCTTGGGAACGTGCATCAGTCTCTTTATTATGGGTTTGTGGAAGACCAGGAGGCAAAGTGACGACTGTAAGCACCAAGTGAGCCTCTAATAACAACTGTTTCTGATTAGCAACAAAAACGTCCCGACTTTACACAAATATATGAGTGAAGAAGTAAGGCTAACTTTTAAAATTATATATATAT